TTGGCGTCCCCCATGGCTGCAGCACGCCGCTGTACCGGTGACAATGGCCCTGAGCCCGCAAGAACAGTGCCTGGTGCGGGAATGCACGACAGCCAGGACTGGCTGACACGTGCAAGCTGCCCGGAGCCCAGCTGCTGAGTCTGAGAGGCTTCACTCATCCCTCACCCCTGCCAGAAGTATCCACGAGACTCGGGATGAGAGCCACGTCGCGAGGAAGCCTACCATCTTCTCGGGGAAGGGCTCTGAGTGGATGGTTTATGCCCCCAGGCTTTCAGGTCTATGGCTGTCCTGTTGACCGTGGTATGCACTGTCTCCCTAAGTTCGATCCACGAGGCCGGAAGGGAAGCCCCTGAGATGGGGACAGGGCGCTGCCAGGCTTGCCCCACTCTTCACAAGCAGCTGACCCTCCGAGTTTGCACGCCCACTGCGCTCCTACTACGTGGCTCTCCTTCAGCTTGCGCTAGGCCAGCTGCCAGGAGAGCTCCTGCTCCAAATGCAGCACAAACCAGCGAATCTGAGGAGCACAGCTTGCACATCACTCCCTGCCCAAGGCAGAACTTAAACCCTTTGATTTCAGCTGCATGTGTATGATGGTCTGTCTGCATGTATGTCTGTGGTCCATGGTTGTGCCCAGTGCCCAAGGCCAGAAGAGCCCCTCTCATCCCTGGACCTGGACTAACAAATGCTTGTGGGCTGGATGTGGGTGCTGGGAATCAAACCCAGGTCCTCTGCAAGAGCAGCCGGTGCTCTTAGCTGCTGAACCATCTCTCCAGTCCCTCAGGGCTGGACTTTTGAGAGGACGTCCCAGGGTAGGATCCAGAACCTAGTTTGGCAACTCCAACCTTTTGACAGCCTTTCTTACTGTGACTTTTGTGACTAGCATGTCCTACCAAGCCATGCCCTCCTGTCTTTAAGATTTAAAAGCCACCTCCAATGAAAGTCACACCCAACCTCCCCTTGTGTGCACCGGGTCCCCCACAGGCACGCGTGTCACCTCCAGCTGCCACACCCTGAGTCAGAGCTTTCCACTCCAAGGACAATCACACTGCTTTCACAGACTCACAAGCACGCACAGACAGGACAAGGACAGGATCCAAGGGCCCAGATGTTTTGTGGTCACCATACCCTACATCAAATGTGAGAAGCCCGCCTCTCGGGAATGCAAGCTGGCACAACTCACACCTGCCCCCTACGCCAGTCTCAGATCCTGCCTGGCACTTGCTCCTGGCTCTAGGCTGGAAGCCGTCCTGCCTGCCTCTGAGGGCAGAACTGGTTTGTGGAGCCCAGGAGGAAGGAGGGAAGATGGACCTCGAACATACAAATATGTTTGGAAACATTTGTGCCATGTGTGAAGAAGGGTGAGGGACCTGTGGAAGACCTTCCATGCATGTGTGGAAGCGTCATCTAAAACCATGAATGCATGAGTCAGCAAGATGGTTCAAGCCTGACAACCTGAGTTCACTCTGTGGAACACACATAAACTCTGGATGCCAGTGCTAGAGAGATGGCTCGGGGGTTAAGACAGTGAGTGTACTGCTCTTCGGGAGGGTGTGAGGAGTTCAGTTCCCAGCACCCACATCAGGCAGCTCACATCACTTGTAAGTCTGGCTTCAGGGGCATCCAATGGACTGGCCTCCAACAGAACCTTCACTGATGTGTGAACACCCACACCTAAGCACACACACCTAAGCACACACACACACACCTAAGCACACACACCACACACCTAAGCACACACACACACCTAAGCACACACACACATACACCTAAGCACACACACACCACACACCTAAGCACACACACACACACATACACCTAAGCACACACACACACACCTAAGCACACACACACACATACACCTAAGCACACACACACCACACACCTAAGCACACACACACACATACACCTAAGCACACACACACATACACCTAAGCACACACACACATACACCTAAGCACACACACCACACACCTAAGCACACACACACACCTAAGCACACACACACATACACCTAAGCACACACACACCACACACCTAAGCACACACACACACACATACACCTAAGCACACACACACACACCTAAGCACACACACACACATACACCTAAGCACACACACACCACACACCTAAGCACACACACACACATACACCTAAGCACACACACACACATACACCTAAGCACACACACACACACATACACCTAAGCACACACACACATACACCTAAGCACACACACACACATACACCTAAACACACACACCACACACCTAAGCACACACACACACACCTAAGCACACACACCACACACCTAAGCACACACACACACACCTAAGCACACACACACACATACACCTAAGCACACACACACCACACACCTAAGCACACACACACACATACACCTAAGCACACACACACATACACCTAAGCACACACACACACACATACACCTAAGCACACACACACCACACACCTAAGCACACACACACACATACACCTAAGCACACACACACACATACACCTAAGCACACACATACACACATACACCTAAGCACACACACACATACACCTAAGCACACACACACACACATACACCTAAACACACACACACACATACACCTAAGCACATACACACATACACCTAAGCACACACACACACACCTAAGCACACACACACATACACCTAAGCACACACACACACATACACCTAAGCACACACACACACATACACCTAAGCACACACACATACACCTAAGCACACACACACACACGTAAGCACACACACACATACACCTAAGCACACACACACACATACACCTAAGCACACACACACATACTCCTAAGCACACACACACACACATACACCTAAGCACACACACACATACTCCTAAGCACACACACACACACATACACCTAAGCACACACACACACACACCTAAGCACACACACCTAAGCACACACACACATACACCTAAGCACACACACATACACCTAAGCACACACACACACACCTAAGCACACACACACATACACCTAAGCACACACACACACACATACACCTAAGCACACACACACACACACATACACCTAAGCACACACACACACATACACCTAAGCACACACACACATACACCTAAGCACACACACATACACCTAAGCACACACACACACACACATACACCTAAGCACACACACACCACACACCTAAGCACACACACACACACATACACCTAAGCACACACACACACACACATACACCTAAGCACACACACACACACATACACCTAAGCACACACACATACACCTAAGCACACACACACACATACACCTAAGCACACACACACACACATACACCTAAGCACACACACACACATACACCTAAGCACACACACACCACACACCTAAGCACACACACACATACACCTAAGCACACACACACACACATACACCTAAGCACACACACACATACACCTAAGCACACACACACCACACACCTAAGCACACACACACACCACATCTAAGCACACACACACCACACACCTAAGCACACACACACACACATACACCTAAGCACACACACACCACACACCTAAGCACACACACACACACACATACACCTAAGCACACACACACCACACACCTAAGCACACACACACACCTAAGCACATAATACATACCTAAGCACACACACACCTAAGCACACACACACACTACACACGGGATTGAAAGTAGATTTTTTAAAACTTCTGGACCTGATGATTCCCATGTAAGATTTGAGGTTTCCTACAGAAAGATGACAGAAAGAGACAGAAGAACCCAGAAGCTCCAGGGCCAGCTAGGCTCAGGTAGAAACCACAGGTAGAAATAAGAGACACCGCCTGGCGTTGGTGGCGCACGGCTTTAATTCCAGCACTCGGGAGGCAGAGGCAGGCGGATCTCTGTGAGTTCCAGACCAGGCTCGTCTACAAAAGCTAGTTCCAGGACAGCCTCCAAAGCCATAGAGAAACCCCGTCTCGAAAATAAAATGAAATAAAAATTAAAAACCAAACAAACAAAAGACACCTTGCTTTCAATAAGGTAGACGGAGAGAACCCACTCCCAAATTGTTGTTCTCTGACCACTACACCCGTGCCATGGCTTGGGAGCCTGTGTCTCTCTCCCTCTCTCCCTCTTCCTGTCTCCCCCTATTCCCCTCACCTCTGTGTGTGTTGCGTGTTTCTCTCTCTCCTTTCCTCCCTTTCTCCCTGCCCCCACTCTCTCTCACACAGATACCCCAAACTCTTTGAAACCAGAGCTTTTCAAATGGGGGTGGATGGGAGCACCCGTCAGACCAGGATCTGGAAGGTGTGGACATTTGGGTCCTAGCCCCTCACCTCCGCTGCCATGGAAACATCACCCCTATTGTCCCACAGGACCGCTGAGGACTCCCTTCATCACCAGCAGCCCAGAGACAGGCAGGCACGTGTCTGTTCCTTACACCCTGTGTGTACACTGGAGCTTCCCTGACTCTTCCAACCACGGGCATGTGATTTGGCCTCCACCCCTCTACTGAAATGGTCCAGGGGCAAATCAGGGGACTTGGCAACCCATTTCAAAGGGGAGGCGGGGGGCGGGCTGGGGGAGTTGGGAGGGGGTGTCTATGCAGGAGCCCAAAGATGAAGGGTCAAATTCTAGGCCAGTACTCCCTGTGTGTCCCTCATCCCAGGGAGAGAATGATGTGGAAGGTCAGAGACTGGGATGGGAAAAGCCCAGGAAAGGAGAAAGGACTGCGGAATGCAAGGGACAGGAGGCAAAAACGAAACAAAACAAAACCAGGTGGGCTTCATGATGCTGTCCCAGAGGGGGCAGTAGTCAGGGCAGGGACGGGGTCTTTGGGAAAGGGAGGCAATGCTGGCCATGTGCGTCCTGGCCCCAGCACACCTGCCTAAGCTTGGCCGCACGGTGCCTGCTCAGAAAGGGGACCACTTCCCACTCAGGACTACCGTGCTTTTTTCCTCCACAAAGTACTTTATTTACTTTTTCAAATCTCATGCACCAGAACTGCATTTGGGGAGATAGAGCAGAGTGTAAATGGGGACTAATGTTCTAGGGGGTGGGAGAGGAACAGTTTCCACCCTGTTGCTGGACCTCATCACCCCACCGAGAGAGAAACGGAGGGACATAAGACAAGACCACTTAATGTGCAACAGCTGTCATCAGGGTAGTTAGGCAGGGGGCACATCAGGGGCACAAAGTCGGCTCTGGTTGGAGAGCAGAGGTTCTCAGCGCGTGGGATAGTTACATGAAATTCACGACAGTATCCCATTTACAGGTATGAAGTAGCAAGGAAGTAACTGTATGGCTGGGGGTCACATCAGCACGAGGGATTGCAGTAAAGGGTGGCAGCATTAGGAAGGCTGAGAACCACTGCTGTAGGGTTAGTGCGAGGAAGCGGGATCCCTGGGTGGCAGCCAGGCCTCTTCTGCAGGGATGCTGGCTCCAACCTGTGAGGCAGAACAGAGTCAGGCCAGCCCTGGCTTCCTGAGCAGTCAGGAGTGTGGCGAGGGCTGTGGGAAGCAGAACACTCACTTCAAAGGTCCTGTGGACTGCACAACACTGATGTCAATGATCCTGGAACTTTTCGTTGAGGGCCTGCATGATGGCTGAAACACAGAGGTACAGATGGGTACCCCAGACACAGACACAGACGCAGACACAGACACAGACACACAGGAACCCACCGGCCTGAGCCCCATTCCCTGTGCCACAGGACCTTCCAGCCGGCCGCCTCACTGCCCTCCAGCCCCCGTGCAAGGAACCTTGGGACAGGATCCCCCACCCATCACCGAGCTCTATGTGGAAACATTCTCCACAGGAGAACAGCATAGACAGGCAGTCCTCAAACGCTGGGCCACAGCAGTGCCAGCCCTACTTGTAAAACAAAGACACATGTGACAAGAAACACCTCACAAGCTGCAGCTGCCAGGACTTCGGGGGAATCTAAAGCGGGAACGTCTAAATGCCCACAGAGAAGGGAACCCGAGGGACTCATCCGCACTGCACACGGGAGAGCACTGCTTCTCCGTGTAAGTCCCTGAGGTCAATGCACAGAGGCCTCCCAGCCTGGCCTGTTTGAGGTCACCTCCCTCAAGAGAACCGCCCCTCAGTCCACCCCAATCACCTGTTCCCAAACACTAAGCTCTCCCTGTGGCCCTGGCACCATCACTTCCCTGCCCTGGGTCGGTCATACCTAGTTGTTCCTTGAGCTCCTCTATTTCCTTCTGCAATATCAGACACTAGTCCAGGAGACACGGGACAAAAAGAAAGGGAGATCATCATTCAATGTCCTGGCTTTCTCTCTGCTCCATTCACACCTCCCACCAGCCTCAGACCTCTGACTACACTCTCAAAGGACAATGGGCTACCTGTTCGCAGCCCACTGTTCCTGGTCGTTGATACTGCCTCTCTCCAACCCGGAATGGAAGAGGGAGGGACAGTTCCTGGTCACCTGAAAAAACATACACAGTAGGCACAGAGACAGGCTGTGACATTTTGGCTTGTGATCCTATTGGGAACGGACTAGTGAGGTCTCAAATGGGGCAGCAATACCCTCTCTTGGGAGCAACCTATACCTTTTAGCGCCTCAGTTCTATCCAGCTCAATTTCTCCTTCATTCCAGCCCAGAGACAGCATAAAGGTGCTGTGAGCCCCCAAGACTCTGGCGCTACGCCAAGGCCTTTCAGGATTACCAACCATAGCTTGATCCAGAAAGGAGTTCAGTGCCTGAGCAGGACTCACCAGCAAGACTCTGGTGTGCTAAAGGCAGCCTGTGGAGTTGGAGTTTTCCCACCTTTTAAAGTCATGCATCCCACAGTCCCACTCATTCCACGATGTGGCCTGAGGCCAGCCCTGCCTGAGCCCAGTCTCCTGTGGACTCCCTGCCAACCTGCACAAGGAAGCCCAAGCAACAAGGCTGCAATTCCCCAAAGGAACAGAGCATGAGGTTTCCTTCCTTCCCCTGTCTTCCCTCACGGCTCTCAAACCCCACAGACTCACCAGCCGGTGCAGGTGCTCTGGGTCTGGCACTTCTCTGACTCAGGGCCACGAGCTGGGAGTTTCCTGGAACTTGGGGTGCTCTCAAGTTGGGGTCTCCACTGGTCACGTCTCCACGATACGAGCAAGGTGGCTCTGCCCTGTGTGTTGGAAGCTCACACAAAAATTTCTCACTGAGTACATGTGGTGGAGGGGCTGGGGGGCAAGTGCGGGAACAAAATGGAGGCTGCTGAGGCTCATCCCATCTGCACTATCTGTTCCTCGTCAGCCTCAGGTCAGGGGGCAGAGCTCTGCCAGGAAGGCACCCACAGGCAATGGAAAGGCTCAGGTCCTGGCCTGGCTTCCTTGGGGAAGAACCAGGAGGGAGGGATCAGGAGGCCCTTGAGACTGACTACACACCCTCTGCAGGGACAGACGGAGCAGGGAATGGTGTGTGCTGGGGAGGGGGAGGGCAGGGGGACAGGACACAGAGGCTGGTCTACTCACTTGGGCTTGCAGGCCAGGATCTCTGGTTTGGTCATTATCTTCTTTGTCCCCTGGCTGGGATTCCTTTGTCTTCCTTGCCATGGATCTCTTCCCAGTGCAGAAGGGCTTGCACTCTTTGGGCCCCGAAGGCAGTGAGCATTTGCTGGCCTTCCCTAGCAGGGCAACCCCGGAGATGGGGGGGAAAGTGGCTGGTTCCACAGGAGCTGACTTGAGTCTCTGCCCCCATGGTGGGAAGGTTCTTCCCAGGGGTCCTCTTGAGGCATCTGGCTTCTTCTCCTGAGCTGTCTTCTTTCTAGGACTGGTCTTGGGCAAGGCTCCTGAAGCAGCAGGGGCAGCAGCAGAGGCAGAGGCGGCAGAAGCTCCTGGGTAGCCCGTTCTGCTCCCTTCTTTGCTCCAGACCACGGTCTGCTTTTTCTTACACAGAGAGCCTTCCAGCACTCCTGGAGCCTGCTTTTCCATGCCTGAGCTGAGCCCCCGGGGAGTACTGCACAGTACAGAGGGGGGCACATGGACGAAACTTCCCCTGCCTTGGACGTTTGCGTGTCTGGCTGTGTCTTCCAGCTCAGTGAGGCCACTGGACTTGGCCTGGCCTCCTTCTTTGTAGCTAATGGTTACTCTCATCATCTGTGTCTCAATGGACTCATCAGAAGACTCAGGGTCGGAGGACAGATACTGGATATCGTCACTGGCTATTATCCTACTTGTGGCACCTCTTCTTGGGGTCACCCAGGCCATGGCCTGCCCCAGACCTCTGGGGTGCAGTTGGGTAGCTGAGAACTGCTTCCCTTCCACAGAGCTCGGGGGCCACATGCTCCTCCTGCTTGTGCTTGCATCTGAGTCTGCCCAGGGGCCAAAGGGCTCTGCAGCGGAGCTTCTGGGGGACGGATATCTGCGGATACCCCAGGCCTCCCGGTTGGCTACATGCTGCCCGAAGCTTGTACCCTCTACCGTCAGCTGCTGTACAAAGTCCAAACTGTCCCCTCTCTCATCCACCGGAGTGCCAGGCCGACCTTCGCAGCCCCAAATGACTGACCTTCCCTCCATGTCATCTCTGTCTAACCAAGAGTCATACTGCAAAGTCTTGGAGACTGGGAGACACATTTTGTCCTCACCGCTCTTTAACAGCCTCTCGTTAGGGTCCAGGCTATGTTCCCTAGGGAATCCATGGCTAAAGCGGCGTCCTTCTGCATGCTCCCCGCTTTCTGGTCCGAACTCGCTTCCCCTAACAGACTCCTCATCGGAAGAGCTCATTCTTCTAGCCCGGCAGGCAGGCGCAGTCTGAGGGGAGACACTGGCCCCCTCACCGCACACTCAGCTACGCCTTCTCGAAAGTAACCGCCACGCCACAGGCGCTGCACGCCTCAGTTTCAAACAACGCGAGATTTCGCGAGACATCGAGGGCGGTTCTCATTGGTCTGCCACTCAACTAGCCACCAATCAGGGCGGCCATTGTTTGGTCATTACTCGAGTCCCTGGCCAATAGAGTTGAGGGTTCGACACGTTGGAGGGCGGGGTTTGGCGCCTGAGTGTGAGGAAATTTCGAGACTTCGAGGTCTAGCTAAGGTACGTGTTCTCTGAACTAAAAGCTTGCAGCGCCTGTGCCAAACTCCCTCAGCTTTGCCTGTGGTGACTGAGGGGGAATATCTTCACCCAACCTGTGCCTCCCGTGTTGGCGACATGAGCTCCCCGGATGAGGTGTCAGCCCCTGAAGTCAGTGGTGACAAGGATGCTCCTTCTACCGGTGACGTGAATTCCCAGGATCTGGTGTCTGCTCCTGAAGCTGAGTTGGGCCAGGAGTGCAGGGAGCACTTAGCACACACCCTGAGCAGCCCCAGAGTTCCAGAGGGTGTAAGCCTCCTCCAAGGTCCTCTGGAGATTGGAGGGGGTGAGGGCAGCCTCCCAGGTATTGAAAGCTGTGAGTTGGAGTCTGGGCCTAAGTTGGAAGCAACAAAAGTAGAAGAAGGGGTGCTCAGGGACCCAGCAGGCCAGACCAGTTCTGCCATGGCACAAGAAGAGGTCGGAGAGATCGGCGCGAGCTTCTTGCCCCAGCTCAGTATTGAGGCTATGACTATATTGAGAGAGCTGACCAACCTACAGGTCCGAAAATTCTTCAGGTACCCGTCCCCACAAACCTGTGCCGCCGAACTGACTGCCCTTTGGGGAAGTATAGATGAAGGCTCCAACACAGGTGCACTGTCCCTGAGTTCTGTAGAAGGGAAACAGGTCTCTGCAGGCTCACTGCACTCCAGAGGTCTGGGGCGAAGCAGAGCCGCGGTGACCCCGAGAAGAGGCACCACAAATAGGATGGTGAGCAGTGAAGGAGTCCAGTATTCCCCCTCAAACTCTGAGTCTTCTGATGAGTCCACTGAGACACAGATGATGAGAGTAACCATTAGCTACAAAGAAGGAGGCCAGGCCAAGTCCAGTGGCCTCACTGAGCTGGAAGACACAGCCAGACACGCAAACGTCCAAGGCAGGGGAAGTTTCGTCCATGTGCCCCCCTCTGTACTGTGCAGTACTCCCCGGGGGCTCAGCTCAGGCATGGAAAAGCAGGCTCCAGGAGTGCTGGAAGGCTCTCTGTGTAAGAAAAAGCAGACCGTGGTCTGGAGCAAAGAAGGGAGCAGAACGGGCTACCCAGGAGCTTCTGCCGCCTCTGCCTCTGCTGCTGCCCCTGCTGCTTCAGGAGCCTTGCCCAAGACCAGTCCTAGAAAGAAGACAGCTCAGGAGAAGAAGCCAGATGCCTCAAGAGGACCCCTGGGAAGAACCTTCCCACCATGGGGGCAGAGACTCAAGTCAGCTCCTGTAGGGCAAGCTACCCTGCCCCCAATCTCCGGGGTTGCCCTGCTAGGGAAGACCAGCAAATGCTCACTGCCTTCGGGGCCCAAAGAGTGCAAGCCCTTCTGCACTGGGAAGAGATCCATGGCAAGGAAGACAAAGGAATCCCAGCCAGGGGACAAAGAAGATAATGACCAAACCAGAGATCCTGGCCTGCAAGCCCAAGTGAGTAGACCAGCCTCTGTGTCCTGTCCCCCTGCCCTCCCCCTCCCCAGCACACACCATTCCCTGCTCCGTCTGTCCCTGCAGAGGGTGTGTAGTCAGTCTCAAGGGCCTCCTGATCCCTCCCTCCTGGTTCTTCCCCAAGGAAGCCAGGCCAGGACCTGAGCCTTTCCATTGCCTGTGGGTGCCTTCCTGGCAGAGCTCTGCCCCCTGACCTGAGGCTGACGAGGAACAGATAGTGCAGATGGGATGAGCCTCAGCAGCCTCCATTTTGTTCCCGCACTTGCCCCCCAGCCCCTCCACCACATGTACTCAGTGAGAAATTTTTGTGTGAGCTTCCAACACACAGGGCAGAGCCACCTTGCTCGTATCGTGGAGACGTGACCAGTGGAGACCCCAACTTGAGAGCACCCCAAGTTCCAGGAAACTCCCAGCTCGTGGCCCTGAGTCAGAGAAGTGCCAGACCCAGAGCACCTGCACCGGCTGGTGAGTCTGTGGGGTTTGAGAGCCGTGAGGGAAGACAGGGGAAGGAAGGAAACCTCATGCTCTGTTCCTTTGGGGAATTGCAGCCTTGTTGCTTGGGCTTCCTTGTGCAGGTTGGCAGGGAGTCCACAGGAGACTGGGCTCAGGCAGGGCTGGCCTCAGGCCACATCGTGGAATGAGTGGGACTGTGGGATGCATGACTTTAAAAGGTGGGAAAACTCCAACTCCACAGGCTGCCTTTAGCACACCAGAGTCTTGCTGGTGAGTCCTGCTCAGGCACTGAGTTCATCCCATGTTCTGGATTTGGCTAGCAATCATCCTAGGGGTACACAGGGCTTCTGGGCTACCTATGGGAACAGAGCAGGAAGGCTGGGAGCTTGGAGGAGCTGATGTCCCAACATCTACAAGTTGCTGCCAGCAGAGGGCGAGGTTGTACCATTTAGATTTCACCAGATCCTTCCCACCTGGATCCCAAGTCTGGAGGCTGCATAATACATTTATTTATTTTTCCCCAGGAGATGAGGATCCACCTTTGAGTCCTTTATTTCCTGTTGGAGACAGTCAGCCAGCATTACAAGGCACACCAGGCTGTCCTCAGGTAGGGCTTTCTCAGCTCAGAAAAGCCAGCCCCAGCTAGGCCCTGAAGGGACTGTTAAGATGACAGTTAACCTCCTGTGTGGCATCCTATCTGACACTCCACAGCATGGGGGCACCTCCTTCCCCGTCCAAGGTTCTTTGGGAGTGTAGTCAGAGGTCTGAGGCTGGTGGGAGGTGTGAATGGAGCAGAGAGAAAGCCAGGACATTGAATGATGATCTCCCTTTCTTTTTGTCCCGTGTCTCCTGGACTAGTGTCTGATATTGCAGAAGGAAATAGAGGAGCTCAAGGAACAACTAGGTATGACCGACCCAGGGCAGGGAAGTGATGGTGCCAGGGCCACAGGGAGAGCTTAGTGTTTGGGAACAGGTGATTGGGGTGGACTGAGGGGCGGTTCTCTTGAGGGAGGTGACCTCAAACAGGCCAGGCTGGGAGGCCTCTGTGCATTGACCTCAGGGACTTACACGGAGAAGCAGTGCTCTCCCGTGTGCAGTGCGGATGAGTCCCTCGGGTTCCCTTCTCTGTGGGCATTTAGACGTTCCCGCTTTAGATTCCCCCGAAGTCCTGGCAGCTGCAGCTTGTGAGGTGTTTCTTGTCACATGTGTCTTTGTTTTACAAGTAGGGCTGGCACTGCTGTGGCCCAGCGTTTGAGGACTGCCTGTCTATGCTGTTCTCCTGTGGAGAATGTTTCCACATAGAGCTCGGTGATGGGTGGGGGATCCTGTCCCAAGGTTCCTTGCACGGGGGCTGGAGGGCAGTGAGGCGGCCGGCTGGAAGGTCCTGTGGCACAGGGAATGGGGCTCAGGCCGGTGGGTTCCTGTGTGTCTGTGTCTGTGTCTGCGTCTGTGTCTGTGTCTGGGGTACCCATCTGTACCTCTGTGTTTCAGCCATCATGCAGGCCCTCAACGAAAAGTTCCAGGATCATTGACATCAGTGTTGTGCAGTCCACAGGACCTTTGAAGTGAGTGTTCTGCTTCCCACAGCCCTCGCCACACTCCTGACTGCTCAGGAAGCCAGGGCTGGCCTGACTCTGTTCTGCCTCACAGGTTGGAGCCAGCATCCCTGCAGAAGAGGCCTGGCTGCCACCCAGGGATCCCGCTTCCTCGCACTAACCCTACAGCAGTGGTTCTCAGCCTTCCTAATGCTGCCACCCTTTACTGCAATCCCTCGTGCTGATGTGACCCCCAGCCATACAGTTACTTCCTTGCTACTTCATACCTGTAAATGGGATACTGTCGTGAATTTCATGTAACTATCCCACGCGCTGAGAACCTCTGCTCTCCAACCAGAGCCGACTTTGTGCCCCTGATGTGCCCCCTGCCTAACTACCCTGATGACAGCTGTTGCACATTAAGTGGTCTTGTCTTATGTCCCTCCGTTTCTCTCTCGGTGGGGTGATGAGGTCCAGCAACAGGGTGGAAACTGTTCCTCTCCCACCCCCTAGAACATTAGTCCCCATTTACACTCTGCTCTATCTCCCCAAATGCAGTTCTGGTGCATGAGATTTGAAAAAGTAAATAAAGTACTTTGTGGAGGAAAAAAGCACGGTAGTCCTGAGTGGGAAGTGGTCCCCTTTCTGAGCAGGCACCGTGCGGCCAAGCTTAGGCAGGTGTGCTGGGGCCAGGACGCACATGGCCAGCATTGCCTCCCTTTCCCAAAGACCCCGTCCCTGCCCTGACTACTGCCCCCTCTGGGACAGCATCATGAAGCCCACCTGGTTTTGTTTTGTTTCGTTTTTGCCTCCTGTCCCTTGCATTCCGCAGTCCTTTCTCCTTTCCTGGGCTTTTCCCATCCCAGTCTCTGACCTTCCACATCATTCTCTCCCTGGGATGAGGGACACACAGGGAGTACTGGCCTAGAATTTGACCCTTCATCTTTGGGCTCCTGCATAGACACCCCCTCCCAACTCCCCCAGCCCGCCCCCGCCTCCCCTTTGAAATGGGTTGCCAAGTCCCCTGATTTGCCCCTGGACCATTTCAGTAGAGGGGTGGAGGCCAAATCACATGCCCGTGGTTGGAAGAGTCAGGGAAGCTCCAGTGTACACACAGGGTGTAAGGAACAGACACGTGCCTGCCTGTCTCTGGGCTGCTGGTGATGAAGGGAGTCCTCAGCGGTCCTGTGGGACAATAGGGGTGATGTTTCCATGGCAGCGGAGGTGAGGGGCTAGGACCCAAATGTCCACACCTTCCAGATCCTGGTCTGACGGGTGCTCCCATCCACCCCCATTTGAAAAGCTCTGGTTTCAAAGAGTTTGGGGTATCTGTGTGAGAGAGAGTGGGGGCAGGGAGAAAGGGAGGAAAGGAGAGAGAGAAACACGCAACACACACAGAGGTGAGGGGAATAGGGGGAGACAGGAAGAGGGAGAGAGGGAGAGAGACACAGGCTCCCAAGCCATGGCACGGGTGTAGTGGTCAGAGAACAACAATTTGGGAGTGGGTTCTCTCCGTCTACCTTATTGAAAGCAAGGTGTCTTTTGTTTGTTTGGTTTTTAATTTTTATTTCATTTTATTTTCGAGACGGGGTTTCTCTATGGCTTTGGAGGCTGTCCTGGAACTAGCTTTTGTAGACGAGCCTGGTCTGGAACTCACAGAGATCCGCCTGCCTCTGCCTCCCGAGTGCTGGAATTAAAGCCGTGCGCCACCAACGCCAGGCGGTGTCTCTTATTTCTACCTGTGGTTTCTACCTGAGCCTAGCTGGCCCTGGAGCTTCTGGGTTCTTCTGTCTCTTTCTGTCATCTTTCTGTAGGAAACCTCGAATCTTACATGGGAATCATCAGGTCCAGAAGTTTTAAAAAATCTACTTTCAATCCCGTGTGTAGTGTGTGTGTGTGCTTAGGTGTGTGTGTGCTTAGGTATGTATTATGTGCTTAGGTGTGTGTGTGTGCTTAGGTGTGTGGTGTGTGTGTGCTTAGGTGTATGTGTGTGTGTGTGTGCTTAGGTGGGTGGTGTGTGTGTGCTTAGGTGTATGTGTGTGTGTGTGTGCTTAGGTGTGTGGTGTGTGTGTGTGCTTAGGTGTGTGGTGTGTGTGTGTGCTTAGGTGTGTGGTGTGTGTGTGCTTAGGTGTATGTGTGTGTGTGTGCTTAGGTGTATGTGTGTGTGTGTGTGCTTAGGTGTATGTGTGTGTGTGCTTAGGTGTGTGGTGTGTGTGTGCTTAGGTGTATGTGTGTGTGTGTGTGTGCTTAGGTGTATGTGTGTGTGTGCTTAGGTGTATGTGTGTGTGTGTGTGCTTAGGTGTATGTGTGTGTGTGCTTAGGTGTATGTGTGTGTGTGTGCTTAGGTGTGTGTGTGTGTGCTTAGGTGTATGTGTGTGTGTGTGCTTAGGTGTATGTGTGTGTGTGTGTGCTTAGGTGTATGTGTGTGTGTGCTTAGGTGTATGTGTGTGTGTGCTTAGGTGTATGTGTGTGTGTGCTTAGGTGTATGTGTGTGTGTGCTTAGGTGTATGTGTGTGTGTGTGTGCTTAGGTGTATGTGTGTGTGTGTGTGCTTAGGTGTATGTGTGTGTGTGTGTGCTTAGGTGTGTGGTGTGTGTGTGCTTAGTGTATGTGTGTGTGTGTGCTTAGGTGTATGTGTGTGTGTGCTTAGGTGTATGTGTGTGTGTGTGCTTAGGTGTATGTGTGTGTGTGTGCTTAGGTGTATGTGTGTGTGTGTGCTTAGGTGTATGTGTGTGTGTGTGCTTAGGTGTATGTGTGTGTGTGCTTAGGTGTGTGTGTGTGTGCTTAGGTGTATGTGTGTGTGCTTAGGTGTATGTGTGTGTGTGCTTAGGTGTGTGTGTGTGTGTGCTTAGGTGTGTGTGTGTGTGTGTGCTTAGGTGTATGTGTGTGTGTGCTTAGGTGTATGTGTGTGTGCTTAGGTGTATGTGTGTGTGTGTGTTTAGGTGTATGTGTGTGTGTGTGCTTAGGTGTATGTGTGTGTGCTTAGGTGTATGTGTGTGTGTGTGCTTAGGTGTATGTGTGTGTGCTTAGGTGTGTGGTGTGTGTGTGCTTAGGTGTATGTGTGTGTGTGTGCTTAGGTGTGTGTGTGTGTGCTTAGGTGTGTGGTGTGTGTGCTTAGGTGTGTGTGTGTGCTTAGGTGTATGTGTGTGTGTGCTTAGGTGTATGTGTGTGTGTGTGTGCTTAGGTGTATGTGTTTGTGTGTGCTTAGGTGTAGGTGTGTGTGTGTGCTTAGGTGTATGTGTGTGTGTGTGTGTGCTTAGGTGTGTGGTGTGTGTGCTTAGGTGTATGTGTGTGTGTGCTTAGGTGTATGTGTGTGTGTGCTTAGGTGTATGTGTGTGTGTGTGTGCTTAGGTGTATGTGTGTGTGTGTGCTTAGGTGTATGTGTGTGTGTGCTTAGGTGTATGTGTGTGTGTGCTTAGGTGTATGTGTGTGTGTGCTTAGGTGTATGTGTGTGTGTGTGTGCTTAGGTGTATGTGTTTGTGTGTGCTTAGGTGTATGTGTGTGTGTGTGCTTAGGTGTATGTGTGTGTGTGTGTGTGCTTAGGTGTGTGGTGTGTGTGTGCTTAGGTGTATGTGTGTGTGTGCTTAGGTGTATGTGTGTGTGTGCTTAGGTGTATGTGTGTGTGTGTGCTTAGGTGTATGTGTGTGTGTGTGCTTAGGTGTATGTGTGTGTGTGTGCTTAGGTGTATGTGTGTGTGTGTGCTTAGGTGTATGTGTGTGTGTGTGCTTAGGTGTGTGTGTGTGCTTAGGTGTATGTGTGTGTGCTTAGGTGTATGTGTGTGTGTGTGTGCTTAGGTGTGTGTGTGTGTGCTTAGGTGTATGTGTGTGTGCTTAGGTGTATGTGTGTGTGTGTGTGCTTAGGTGTGTGTGTGTGTGCTTAGGTGTATGTGTGTGTGCTTAGGTGTATGTGTGTGTGTGCTTAGGTGTGTGTGTGTGCTTAGGTGTATGTGTGTGTGTGCTTAGGAGTATGTGTGTGTGTGCTTAGGTGTATGTGTGTGTGTGCTTAGGTGTATGTGTGTGTGTGCTTACGTGTGTGTGTGTGTGTGCTTAGGTGTATGTGTGTGTGCTTAGGTGTATGTGTGTGTGTGTGCTTAGGTGTATGTGTGTGTGTGTGCTTAGGTGTATGTGTGTGTGTGCTTAGGTGTGTGTGTGTGTGCTTAGGTGTATGTGTGTATGTGCTTAGGTGTATGTGTGTGTGTGTTTAGGTGTATGTGTGTGTGTGTGCTTAGGTGTATGTGTGTGTGTGCTTAGGTGTATGTGTGTGTGTGTGTGCTTAGGTGTATGTGTGTGTGTGTGCTTAGGTGTATGTGTGTGTGTGTGCTTAGGTGTGTGGTGTGTGTGTGCTTAGGTGTATGTGTGTGTGTGTGCTTAGGTGTGTGTGTGTGTGCTTAGGTGTATGTGTGTGTGTGTGTGCTTAGGTGTGTGGTGTGTGTGTGCTTAGGTGTATGTGTGTGTGTGCTTAGGTGTGTGTGTGTGCTTAGGTGTGTGGTGTGTGTGCTTAGGTGTGTGTGTGTGTGCTTAGGTGTGTGTGCTTAGGTGTGGGTGTTCACACATCAGTGAAGGTTCTGTTGGAGGCCAGTCCATTGGATGCCCCTGAAGCCAGACTTACAAGTGATGTGAGCTGCCTGATGTGGGTGCTGGGAACTGAACTCCTCACACCCTCCCGAAGAGCAGTACACTCACTGTCTTAACCCCCCGAGCCATCTCTCTAGCACTGGCATCCAGAGTTTATGTGTGTTCCACAGAGTGAACTCAGGTTGTCAGGCTTGAACCATCTTGCTGACTCATGCATTCATGGTTTTAGATGACGCTTCCACACATGCATGGAAGGTCTTCCACAGGTCCCTCACCCTTCTTCACACATGGCACAAATGTTTCCAAACATATTTGTATGTTCGAGGTCCATCTTCCCTCCTTCCTCCTGGGCTCCACAAACCAGTTCTGCCCTCAGAGGCAGGCAGGACGGCTTCCAGCCTAGAGCCAGGAGCAAGTGCCAGGCAGGATCTGAGACTGGCGTAGGGGGGGGCAGGTGTGAGTTGTGCCAGCTTGCATTCCCGAGAGGCGGGCTTCTCACATTTGATGTAGGGTATGGTGACCACAAAACATCTGGGCCCTTGGATCCTGTCCTTGTCCTGTCTGTGCGTGCTTGTGAGTCTGTGAAAGCAGTGTGATTGTCCTTGGAGTGGAAAGCTCTGACTCAGGGTGTGGCAGCTGGAGGTGACACGCGTGCCTGTGGGGGACCCGGTGCACACAAGGGGAGGTTGGGTGTGACTTTCATTGGAGGTGGCTTTTAAATCTTAAAGACAGGAGGGCATGGCTTGGTAGGACATGCTAGTCACAAAAGTCACAGTAAGAAAGGCTGTCAAAAGGTTGGAGTTGCCAAACTAGGTTCTGGATCCTACCCTGGGACGTCCTCTCAAAAGTCCAGCCCTGAGGGACTGGAGAGATGGTTCAGCAGCTAAGAGCACCGGCTGCTCTTGCAGAGGACCTGGGTTTGATTCCCAGCACCCACATCCAGCCCACAAGCATTTGTTAGTCCAGGTCCAGGGATGAGAGGGGCTCTTCTGGCCTTGGGCACTGGGCACAACCATGGACCAC